CGTTAAATTTTGACAGGGTCATAATTTATGAGTTATAAACACTTGCCAATTGATAATTGTAAATTGTTTAACAACATAATCACAATTAACAATACTTCAACCCGTTTAATCATTTATGTAATAATGTATATAATATAATGTATATTATACTATCATTATTTTTAAAATAATACATGACTGCATTTAACCAATACCCATTGAAMTACATAGTACATAATATTATTATATAGTTCAATGCTAATACCTATTTAAAAGATAAATGATAATATAGCCCATACACTCTACAAATCTCTACATATAAATACATCCAACCTAACCGTGGTTATAGTACAAAATATATCGGAGTTATATCATAGAATATTAGAATACCGTTGTTATTGATAATCGAAGCAACGATTGTCGTAGCAGTTGCATAGGACGGTGTCCATCACGGACTAAGATCTTAGTCCGTGGTGTCCATCTTCATTTATTAATCGGAGTAGTATAATCACAGAACAATAATAGATATGACACATTTCTTCCATGATACTGATATAAACCGTTTTTTTTTTTCTAGTGATATAACTGATATTACAGACTGTCTGGTGTCTGGTAGTTGTATTTATCTATTCAGTGATTGTAGTTTTGAGGTCTGTGATACTAAATAATGTATAAACTATTTTATTTAGTCTTATAGGACTTATACTAATTACTAATGTTGATCGTTCTAAATATTAAATACTATAATATTTGAGTAAACGATAATGGTTATAAATAGTAAATATTAAATTTAAAAAATTTTTTAATAATGTTGGTATTTTGGTTTACATTACATTGAGTTTATTATGTAGTGAACGAATCTAATTAAACTTTAAAATAAAATTATATTATGCTGAAAAATAGATAGAGGAAGTAAACTATTTTCCAAATCAAGGTAATTTATATGTTATTAAAATATACATTACTTTTCAAGAATATCCCTAGGTACCTAGTTCATTACTATTTTTCTGAAATTTGACTTTAAAAAACTGTAGTACATAATTACAGTCCTAAAATCTAATTTATATGTAATTATTAACTTCTGATAGTTCAATTTAGCTAAAACTAATGTAAGCTTTTTTTCATTGTTTAGTTTGACGTAAAATTACACAAAATAATAGCTGTATAGTAATACATGGCCATGGTTGGTATCATAATGTATGCACGACTATTTCCAAACTTATCTTTGCAATCTTTAAACAATAAATTACAAATAATAATTTAATAATAATCTGTGCTATTAAAAACTTAAAAAAAACCAACAATAATTTATTTAATTAATACTTTTAAATTAGATTCAGTTGCATATATTTAAGTAATCATGGATCCTGCTTTGCTGAAAGAAAGAGAATTATTCAAACTTAAAGCTTCAGCTATTCCTGTGTAAGTATATTATTATAGTATGTTTTGGTTAAACAAATAATGATTTTACTGTAACTATAACCTGTTTATGTGTTATCATTATAGAGTTGAAAAAAGGTTAAGAGAAGACAATAGCAATAAAGATGAGCTTAAAAGGAAATCAAAACCATTACCATCTATGCCAAGACCACCTTCTCCCCCAAATACTGCAAGTTCATTGAAGTATGAACTATTTAGTATAAATTTATTGAACATAATTTTGTTAACTAACATTTTTAATTACTACTAAAGTAGCTACAAGTCATTTGGGCAAAGTTCTCAGTATAAATTTGGTGTACTTACCAAAATAGTTAAGTATATTAGAGCTCGGCATCAGGATGGAGATGATCATCCTTTAACATTAGATGAATTACTGGATGAAACTAATCAATTAGATGTGGGAACTAAAGTAAAAACGGTACTTATATTATTAATTTATTATATGCTCATATCAAAAATTAAAAATCAAATTTTTATATTTATTATTTTTTCAAGTGGTTAGAAACTGAAGCACTACCAGGTAACCCTAAAATTGAACGTACACCTGATGGAAAATATATGTTCAAGCCACCTTATAAACTTAAAGACAGAAAAGCTTTGTTGAAGTTATTAAAACAACAAGATTTGAAAGGTTTAGGAGGAATTATGATGGACGACATCCAAGAATCATTACCTAATTGTGAAAAAGCTCTAAAGGTAATAACTATAAATTAATTATAAAAAATATTTAATTATTAATTAATATATTCTTATTTTTACAACAGTATTTGCAAAATGAAATATTATATGTTTGTCGGCCTGGGGATAAAAAAAAAGTTATGTTTTACAATGACAAATCTGCTACTATTGATATCAATGAAGATTTTAAAAAAATGTGGAGGAGCATTGCCGTGGAAAATATGGATGATGAAAAGATAGAGGAACATTTGGAGAAACAGGTATGAGTGCCACATTATCTATTTTTTAATACAATAAACTGAAGTTATACATAAAATATTTTTCAGGGTATAAGCTCCATGCAAGATAATGGTATCAAAAAAATAAATCATGTTAAACGGAAGAAGCCAGTGACCAAGAAAAGATTCTCTAAGAGACCAAGGGATAATGAACATTTAGCTAATGTGTTAGAAGATTATGACACATTGTAATTCTTTATTTAAGTATAATTATTAATTATTTTTTGTACATTAATAAATAAAATAAAATTGTATGCTAATTATTATATGTTATAAAGTGCTCTATTATATTATCAATATTCAAAACAGCTTTTAGTCGTAGAGGTACTGTTCCTAAGCTCACTAGTTTATCCGGTCTGTCAGCTTCTTCAATTTTAGTAAGACTAAATAATTCCTAAAAAAACGTCAATAACATATACTGCAGTTTTAATACTACAAATAAATCAAGTCACCTTGTGATGTTTATCTTCTGCGGCTTTTAATAATTCATAGTTTTTTCCATTAAAGATTAAGACAACACGTCCGGATCTATAATATTGAAGTTTACCTATTGGTCCAGACTTAAAAATAGCTTCTGAATCATTCTGGAAGTAAACATTAACATGATTTGTAAAATTCATAACCATTATTATTATCTTCATAATTACTTCTGTTTTAAATTGGCCATTATATTCCATTTTTATAGGAACTGCTGGTTTTAATTTGGCAGGTATTACATCATTATCATCATTTTCTCTTAAATCAATATTTGCAATTTTTTGTTGAATACTAAATGAACTGTCATAGAACTAATGCAAATCAAACAATTAATATAAAATCTAAAATAATTATTGTATATAATTAGATGGCTCACTGCAATAAAATACATTCTGCAAATAAAAGTCGAGTTCAATCGAAAAAAATATTATCACTAATATCACATAACCACTAGACACGGACTAAGATGAATGGACTGGAAACTAACTGGCAAATAGGTGAGGCCAAGGTTAGAAGTCTTGAGGGAGGGAGATACCTATATTTTATCTCTACCTAAAATCATCTTATAAACTAGACAACGAACATTGGTAGCAATTTATACATACTTGCTGTCCCCTCATTCCCCAACCATACTCGACACTTCTAAACATTAAACACTAGGTAATGCATCTGGTTTCCAGTTCATTCTATTTTAGTCTGTATCACCAGTTTAGTAGTAACTACTAGTGATTATAATAACAGATCGCCTGATTGAACAAATTTCCAATCAATGCCTTTAATTAAAAATATATTTTAATAAATCAATTAGTAATAACCTGTAAAATAATTAATGATTCAGGAGAAATTAATTCACTTAATGAAGGATAAATATTCTTCTGGAACGGATATTCTAAACTCATTTCAGTCTTTATTTGGGGTACCCTATCTAAAACAAATATCATTAGATAGTTAGCAAGTAAATATAGTACATTTTTTTAGTACTTTTTCTGATGAAAGGTAATCGAACTGGTCTATGAGGCTCATCCATTGGGTCATCCACGTCAAATTGATTATTTTCAAACATTTGCATTTGTTGTATACTTTGACAAGCTTCTTTTTTTACCTAGATAAATTTTAATAGATACTCAAAAATCAAAACACAACACAAACCAAATATCACTATACTACTCACATAAGATCCTGAATTATTGAAACTACCATGATTTGAATAAGATCGAAAACCAGATGATAATCCCATGCGTGATGAACCTGATCTACCCTGAGTTGTTGAACTCATGTTAGAAAACACACTTTGTACCTAAAAATAGATACTAATATTATCATAATTAATTATATATAATGTTAATATTTAATAATATAAACCTGTGTTGTAGATCTTTCTTTAGTTTTTTTTTGTTTTTGTGCTGATGATGATTGAGCAATTGAATTAGCATCATGTTCAACTTTAACTTCTACTTTAGCTAGTTGATCTGAATCTTTGGCTATAATTCTAGGGAAAAATATGTTATGTTCAGTACATATATTTTATCATAAAATTGTATTTTTTTTTATACACGTAAACATAACTTTTGGTACCTTTTATAATTTTGATATGTATATTATTAATGTGCTTAATTATTTGGTATTGTGATAGCTTTTAGGTGAGAAAATTATCCAATGGTAAGGTTAGATTATTTCTCAACATCTAACCCTTCAGTCATAGATGAAAGAAGATGTGTTAGAATATGTGATGGGCAGATTATTTATGTATAGGTTAAAGAACATAGGAGAAATAGATGTTCCATAAAAACATTCTTCATTTCTCCAACTATGGTGATGGGGGGAAGGAGAGAAAAATGCCTGAGTATACAGAAAATTGTTGTTCCTTTGCCTCTTTATACAGAATTTGATTAATACAATTTCTAGAACTTGAAATAAAATGTATTATGTGCTTGTGTTACATTTCAAGAGAATACCTGTATAGACATATTTTATTCTGAAGATATTTTATCAATTAATCTGTGGATTTGTTGTAGTATACAATGTTTATTTTTAAACCCAAATTGGAAATGGAATAAAATTCTTTTGATAGTTGGTAAAATGAGCTTCAGAAGTATGGAAGTGGACTTATTGGCCAGTAATATTCATTTATTAACAATTTACTGAGAAAAATCTACGGGCTTGCCAAATTTGAAATCATAATTATAGAAAATGTATCAATAAAATAAATAATTAACCTTTTATATCCTAAATTAGGTGTAAACGAAAGTTTTGCTGCCCCAAATTTGGGTAAATTCTTTGAGCGTTTATCCATTTTAACTTAAATTTTCATGTAATAGCTTAGTAAATTCTATAACAAACAAATGATAGACATATTTTATTAACAATTTATCAATATAATTCTGATCATATCAGATCATATATTATATATATTCATAATAACATTTACTTTTTTGCATAAATTAATTCAATTAATTCTTACTTACTAGATATCACGTAACTTTCACCTTATTACTTGGCTTGAAAGTACTAACAAGTAAGAAGTAACTATTAACTAACTAACAAGCATCCCGCATGGACTTCTATTTATCTATTATTTCATGTTTACAATTTCATTTCAAAATATATGAAATGATATAACTTATAAGTGGCACACTATCATTTCCATAGATAATGTAAAAATTATATTATCATCTCTGGAGTAAATTCACAGATTTAGAGGTTATGTTGACTGATATTATGACAATCTTTTAAATTTCAAAACATTTTAAAAGTTAAAATATAAACAAAAAAATATATTAAACAATAATATTAATTAGTTTATTGTTAAATATTTATTTTGTGTCTAATATTGTATGGGACATTTAGGTCGAAGACAGTAAATAATGCAATTTATCCAAAACAAATCGTTAGGTATATAAATTTTGACAATTATGTCTAAAGAACCCAGCACTAGCAAAGAGAAACGGAAGAATTTACGTAAAGACGACGGTTCTAAAATTTTGAAAGTCCTGACATTATACGAATACCTCATCAAACTTCCAGAAGCCGTTCAAGATCGGCTATACAGTCATCCGCCGACTTGCCTAACAGTGTTTAGAGTGTTACCTGACATTGCACAACAGTTTACTTTACGTATTTTGTTCATCGAACAGCCAGTGCCGCAATCAGTTCTTTCATCCTGGGTGCCGGCCAACTATTCCAGTGAACTTGACGAATCTATAGAGGTAGCTACCAATTTGCATATATGGAAATTAACCGGAGTTTCTGGTGGCCTCAAGGGATGGATTTTAAATTCTACGTTCAAGAAGAAACTCAAAGTAGCGCTTATGGGCGGTGGCCGTTCTACAGTACCTAACAGTGATATGACAGCTGATCCAAAAGCAAGAGATATAGACTTTTTAGATTCCTACGCGTATGAACGGTGGGAATGCATATTACATTATATGGTTGGTTCTAAACATGAGGGCATATCATCAGATGCAGTTAGGGTTTTACTAAATGCAGGTCTTATGGTAAGTGACTAGTGCAATTATTACAATTTAATTCTATCAGGTACTCAATAATTATATTTTAGGTCAGAGACACAGATGATAGTCCAGTCATTACATCAACAGGATTTCAGTTTCTACTGCTGGACATGGCCACTCAAGTATGGTATTTCATGCTCCGCTATATGGAAACAGTTGAATCGAGAGGTCTCGATCTTGCTCAATGTCTAACGTTCCTCTTTCAAATACATCTCGGTACTTTAGGATGGGATTATATAACAGATGAAATGTCTGAAAACCTTCAAGCGTTTTTACAACATCTACGAGAATTTGGATTAGTTTATCAAAGGAAACGTAAAGCTGGACGTTTCTATCCTACTCGATTAGTAATTGAAATGGGGCAAGGGAACAGCCGTACTTCAGAACGAATGAAAAATAAAGAACGTTATATAATTGTAGAAACCAATTTTCGGGTTTATGCTATGACTGATTCTGATCTAAAAGTTGCCTTAGTTGCATTATTTACTCATATGCTTTACAGGTAATAATTATTATGATAATAGTTTAAATATATATTATATCTTTTGCTGTTTTAGATTTCCAAACATGGCCGCTGGTATATTAACAAGAGATTCTGTTCGAACAGCATTACGTAGTGGCATTACTGCTGCACAAATAGTGAGATTTCTTACTGTACATACACATCCACAAATGCAAGAATGTGGGATGCCACAAACTGTAATTGATCAAATTTATTTGTGGGAAAATGAAAGAAATCGACTAACATACACAGATGGTGTGTTATATAGCAATATAAATACACCTAATGATTATGAAACAATAAAAAATTATGCTGCTGAAATTGGTGCATTGGTTTGGTGCGATGAAAGAAGAAGAAACATTGTCGTGAGTACTGATGGACACGATGACGTAAGAAAGTTTTGGAAAAAACAACCAAAATCTGATCCTTTTTAATTTTATCAAGTTCTGAACTCAATGTTAAATTGTCTGCTATTCACGTGTATGATTCGAGTAAATAGGTTATTAATTGAATAACACTAATAATTGAATAACCAAAGTTTGATTAAGTATAAGTGCAACAGAGCAGTAATAATTATGTGTATTTGATTCATAATTAAATGCCATACAACAAAATATTAGGTATTTATACATTATTTTTTAAATAAAAAGTTGAAATTTTTTTAATGTTTTTGTGTTATTTTTAAAACTCAATCAGTTAAAAAGATGCTTTATATAAAATACATTCTTGAATAACTAGATAGAGAAAAATATAACATTATCATACTCATATTTAATTAATTTAAATGACAGATGTAACATGAACATAAATAAAAGAAATGAATGTGCCTAAGAAGTATAATGTTACTAATAAATAAACAAAATTAATTCAATATAAATGTATAATATATTATTGTACATAGTTTATAAAAAATAGTGGTACTTTTATTTTATATATTTTTTTTTATAATTCATTATAAAGTGAACATTTTTTAACATACAAAATAATTTGCCAAGCATGCTCACTCCCATTTATTCTTTTCATTTATTTGAATTCGGATTTTTGGAATTTTGGTTGTCATTTTACAAACAGAAGCTTACATCTTAAATACCAAAAAATATTTAAGAATTTGAATAACTGCAGTATTAAAGAAGAATAAGGGGGTTAAGGGAGTGAGCATGTTTGACGAATCAAACTAAAAATAATGCAATACAACTTATTACTACAATTAATATTTCATACAAATACAAGTTGGTTACTTAATGTTAAAGATAAATCTATGTGACACAATAAATCTACTAATTAATAGATATACTATGAGATAAAACTAAGTCTTGTTTCATTAAAATGTAAATAAAGTAACAATAATAATTTCAAGAGATCATCAGAAAAAAATCAGTTGTATATTTATAATATTGTTGTTTCCACATTTTTTAGCAATTTGCAATCAGAGCAATATGAATTTATAAATTTTTATAAAATGACAATTATTGTAATAAATTGAACATACTGATACCTCGTCAATAGCTGAATGCCTGAATACTTATGATACTTATGTGAGTTGTTAATTATTATATGCCACTAACATTTTGAACAATCAGCTAATAATACATCAGTCTTCAGAGATATTACTGATGTTGCTAAATAATTGTTATTGTTTAAACATAGTTATATCATTGTTCAATTCCAGAGCATAAATGAGATAATTTAACGCAACTATTCTATTCACTATTTAAGTTATATTATATGTATAATTTATTCACGAATTTAAGGATTAGGATTGTCGTATACGGGCAGTCCTTAATATATTAAACCTATGGAAGACAATATGATTGTTTTATATGAAAAATAAACTATTACAATAAAATTAAGTTATTAATTGATGAAAAAAATTAAGATATTATAATAAATAATAAAATTAATTATTGATTAGATATTGATAAAAATTGAATCTTATTTTTTGAAGATTGGAATGAAAATCGAAATAAAATTACCATAAAAGTCAACACTTCTTGAGCATCTATTCAAAAGTTTTAAATGGTAACAAATAACAATAATAATATTTTTCTGTCACACATAGAATCAATAATCATTAAAGAAGATAAAATAATAAAGTTAAATGTGGTTTTTGAATTAGTTCATTTTGCTTCCAAGGTCTTACATAATATTTTACCCTGTATTATTGCACATTATTATCATAACTATAACTTAAAACTATTACAATTTTTAATAACAATTATTGAATAATCTCAACATTTTCTTCTGATTAAAAAAAAAGATAATAAACAAAATAAGATTGAATTAACAAATGACTATAGGTACAATAAAAATTCTATAAACAAATAATAATACAAAAAGTGACATTTAACATATTTTAAACAAATGTAATGTATGCGATTAATAAGAATTTAACAAATTACCTATTCAACAGTGAAACCACAAGTTTCTTCAACTGCTTGGCTGAGTTTGTCGAGTAATTTTTGTTTACTCTCATATTTTGGCAAATCAAGACGATTAAAACAGGTGTGTGCTTTAGGGAGATTATCAGTAGGTACATCAGTCAAGTGTATAGTAAACAAACGAGGCCCAGCTGCTCCAGTTGATCCTAAATTAAAATATATTATGTATCAATAGTTGGATATTTTTTCCCGTTAAATAAATCATTATTAACCTTGAAGTGCCTTAAAACCTTGAAGAGGAACTCTAGAACTTCCAGTGACAAATTGTAATAGCCTGAGACGCATTTCTTGACTATAGTTTTGTTCAATAATTTCCCAAAACCATTTCACTACAGGCATATCTGGTGTACAATGCTGAATATAAAATGTTATTCATTTAAGTATATTTTTAACTGTTATATTTTATGAAGTTTAAAAAAATAATCACTTTGAGCCTAGTATTACGCTTCCAATCTTCAATATCAATGGTACCAATACCACTGATAATTAATTCAATCTCACGTTCGTCAAAAGGCTTTAGCAATGTTCCAGGAACTACTTCAGTTAAGCCTTTTTGCAATGCTAAGAATTGTTGTTCAATACCTCTCATAAATCTATATGTCACGTATAATCTAGATAAATTTAAATTGTAGTTAGTATTACACTATTTTATTTTAATATCATATACATGAGTGATCATCCATTATTAACATACTTGACATATTCTTTTTTATTATCTTCTGTAAGCTGAATATTTTGTCCACCAGTTTTAAGCTCGTGCAATTTTAATACACCAAAGCTACTTTGTTCAACCGCAAAAGTAGTATCAATTATATCTTTTTCAAGTTTATTTTCTCTTAAAATAAAAAAATAGATGCATATAGAAAATGTATAGAAAACCTTAGCTATTATTAATTACAGTATATATGTGAGACTACGATGTAATTCAGGATCTACTCCTTCTATATCTTCTAGAGTAATTGGTTTATTTAATAACATTTTATAAAAAGGTGTTGTAAATCCTCCATCAATATAGTGGCCATGAAAAATAGCGATTCCAATTATACGACCAACAAAATGGAAATAAGATAGATGTTCCTTAAAATTAAAAATCATTTTTAGTTGCATAATATTATATGGCACTACCAAATTG